GTTGATTTAGTTTTATCAATAGAAAATTTAATCATTTTACATGGCATTGATATTAAAAATAAAATTTATTTTTGTGTTGTAAAATAAAAAAAGAATCATTTAGAAGAAGAAGAAGAAAAATAAGAGAGATAAAATGAAGTAATGCAAAGATATATTGTATTTCTGTTCTTTTCTCCTTCTTTTGTTCTCCAATTCTTCTTCATTTGTTTTGTATACAGTTACAAGAGTACAAGCCCTATATATAGAGGCCAATAGGTGATAAGAGTTACAATAAATAAATATCCACTAAATAAGAGGTTATAAGGATTAATCTCCTAATAAAGAAAGAGTTACAAAGATTCCCATTTTCATTATCTAAATGCATGGCATTATTGGAGTGTTAATCACTGTTGTAATTGCATGAAAGTAATAGAAGTTACACAATTATTTGGTGTGTAAATACCATAGAAAGTGAGGAGTTGAGAAGATGAGGAACGTGAAATATCCACAATAAATTCATTCATAACATTTTATAATTTTTTGTACAAATTAATATTAAAAAAGTATAATAAATGCACAAATTATAAAAACTCCTAATATAAAGATTAGTTACTTTTACTTTCTTTAATAAATAAGTAATAAAGAACTTAAAGGATTTGATCTATCAATAAATAAGTGTTATTTTGTAAATATGCCAAATTTAATATTCAAGTCTTGAGATGAATACCCACATAAATTAATTTCCTTAATTCCACTAAACTGATATGGGAGTGTGTGCTTAAAATTGTCCAAATAGAAATTAATGATGCATAAAAATTGATCTAAAAATATTTTAACAGTCCAAACTAAAATAAATAAATAAAAATGGGGTTAGTTTACCAAGGTCAACACTAGCTTAGTATTAAAGTCTCTTAAGTCTCTTAGAAGACATTCCAGTGGTTAAAACTTGAAATTTTATGTTGGAAATTTTAAATTTAATTTCTGGAATGAGTGAAGAGAGATTTGCAAATGGGAGGATTATCTTTTATTGTATATTTTATTATCCAATGTACTAAAAAAATAACAAAAAGAGTCTTAATTTTTAAGACTTTTCGACAGATCATAGACAAAAAAAAATTTTTTTTTTCATTTTTATGAGCATAGTAGACTAAATTAAGAAGATTATGAACACTTCAAACAGCAAAATATAAATATTTTTTCCTTTAAAAATTTGAAATTTTTTAGCCTGTCGCAATGTTACTTTGTGCATATGGACTCTAGTTCAGGTGTTTAGCCTGAGGCCCAATTATGTAAGAAACAGGACCTCGACACATTGTAATTGGACTCGGCCTGATGGTTGTTTAATTTGGCCCAAAAGCTCGCAACCTGGCACTCTGGCAGATCATGGATGTTCGAAGCAGA